TGTCTGATATCATAGATAGAAATCTCTTGTATGAGTTTTGATGGCATAAGTTTCTGAATTGATGTTGCTTGCTTTACATGTGCATCAAATCTGGAGGAAAGATTACTGATAATGTTGCCAAGAAAAGGAATGTTTACTGTTTTCTTAAAGTAATCCTCCACGGAACTATATTCTGTATTTGCACGTTGGGTTTGTTGTTGACTAACTCCTGGCAAGCTAACATTAATATTAGATATCTTGAAGATACGATGTGAATAATCATCTATGTTGACTCTTAGTGAAGTCAGTTCTTTACAGCATTGTTCTTTTATGGAAACACCAGAAACAATGTCCTAACTTGGACCTTGCAAGTTTACAGAACCTTCTTTTAAATAGTAAAGTGAATGTTGTAAAGCTGTTAAACAAAAAAATTAATTCAAACGATTCCAATATTTTTAGATAAGCCATAGCATTTTCCTTATCTTCAGCAGCCCAACTGTTATTAAACATTTCAAAATTATCATCTCCATACACAATAATCTCGCTCACGTGAAATAAGAATGGATGGCATAAACAGAACCTTTCCCAACCTTCAATATTCTCAACCCAACGTGTAATGCACACATTGAGTAGTGGAAGACATGATGAAGCTGCTCTATGTTGGATGCCCTTTTGATACATTGTATTTAATAGTTTCCCACGTATAGGTGAGGATTTAATCCAAATAGTTATTCCTTTAACTTCATCGATACAATTTCGTATTGGTGGAACTGAACATGAATTTATAATAGCAGGATTAAGTGAGTGACCCGAGAAATGAGTGTACAAGGCCTAGTTTTGCATATCTGGAATTTATTTTTGGACACCACATCTTTTGTTAGCCATGATGGATGCTCCATCATATCCTTGACCATGAAATTCATTTAGAAATAATCCAACATCAGTCAATATATTTGTAATTGCGCAAACAATATCTGTTGTTTGGACCTCCTGTAGCTTAACAAAGCCAATAAAGTCTTCCCTAATTTCACAGTTGCCATCTACAATGTGGAGACATATTAGTAAATGTTTCACACTATGAGAAGACACTTCATCAACAAGAACAGAGTAGAATCCAGCCTTTTTTACTTCATCACTAATTTTTACTCGAGATACATCATATCCTATGACATTGATGATGTCATTTTGTGAGGGGGGAGATAAATATAGTACGGGTGTCATACTTAGTTATATATAGAAGCAAGATTTTATGGAAACTTTCTTTGGTTATTGTTTATGAATCATATGTTGCGTAGCTTTACTTTCAATTGCTATGAGTTAGCTATTGTTATATTGTTGCGTCATGTTAATAGAACTTTTTGAAATTTTCTCGTTGTTTTAATTGAGTATTATTGCATCAGAGTATCTAGTATTGCTGGAATGCTCTACACTTCTGTCGAAAGATTATTACTTAGATCTAGACTGCGTGATTGTGAATTGAGCTATAATGAGCGTATAGTGGCGATTTTTAAAGTGAAATATCATAGACTGAATTTAATAACAGAGCAGAGAAGAATTATTCGTTTTGTAAATTGTGTTATAAAGTAATTGAGCCAAAAAGAGACAACTATTTAGCTCTGGATACAACTGTGATAACCTTTAACTATATAAGCATAATTTTTTTTTACACCACAAAAATAGGGGGTTCAGCCGAATACCCTCCAACTCCTCTTCCCACATGCGTGACCCACTTTCGTAAGATCACCTCACCATAGTTTTCTCCCTCTTTGTTTTGCTTTTAATGTGGAAAGCCGCCTCTTATAATAACGTCTTTTACATTTATTGCAATTCTGTAATTGTTTTTATCTAAAAATAAATTTCTTTTAACTAGCAAAATTTTCATTATTTCGGCTTTTCAGATAACGATTATGTAACATGAAAAAGTAAACAAGGTGAGTAGGCACGTATATAGAAGGGCCATTTTTCAAAGCCCAGAAAAATATTTGCTGAATTTCATTACAATTAATTTAGTGGCACCTGTCCAGTTTACTTGATCATACACTACTAATTGACTCTTTACTAAGGCAAGCTCAAACAGTATATTGAGCCATGACATTCACTGTATTCTACGTATTGTTAACATTGTTCTTTCATTGGGGTTATTTTTTAATTGTCTGGTGAAAATAATTAAACGTCCAGTTTAAGTAATTATTTAAAATTAGAGCATTTCGGAGTTCATCCTTTTACTTCTGTTAACATAACTATATTAGATTAATGAATAAACTAATAGACTCCATAACATCCTTATGGATTAAATCAATATTTTAATAATTCTACTGCTTTCAATTTGAGTAATGATTACTGTGTTGCTAATTTTTTGCAGTTCAGATAGTTTTTCTCATAAAAATAAGAAAATAAGAGGTAAAGGGAAAAATATATAAAATGGATTGATTTTTTAGAATTCTGCACTAATTTAGATAATGTTTTTTTTTATTCTAGTACTAACATATGTAAATTTTATTTAAAAAAAAGATTTATCAACTTAATCTTTCTAAAATAAGAGCAATAATTAAGGTAATTAACAAATATAACTTTCGAAATGATCATCTGAAACATCTATTTTTAGACATTGTGAAATACCGATTAAAAGTTAATAATTTACCAAGCCTTGAAAAAGTTTGTTTGTTTGTTTGTTTTTTAATTATGCACAAAGCTACACAAGGGCTATCTGTGCTCTGCCCACCACGGGTATCGAAACCCGGTTTCTAGCGTTGTAAGTCCGCAGACATACCGCTGTGCCACTGGGGGGCCCTTGAAAAAGAAAACTTTAAATGAAAACGTCATAG